CACCACGTAGTGCATGGCATTGAGGATTGCAATTACCTCAGCCTGGAAGACCCAAGCATTTTTCCCAACAGAAAAGTGAATCTTATCCCCATTTACTTCGAAAAAGACCTCAGATCATGACCCAGAGTCAGGTTTGGAGCCATCAATGAAGATTCGACAATGTTTGAGGCCCGGCTCAGTGATGAAATTAATGAGCATTCAGTCTCAGGGAACTCAACATTATAGAATCTCTTCAACAAAGGTAATGGTGGCGTACTATCATGGAGCATTGAAAATGCAGAAGTGCTTAAATCTCTCCCGCCAGCAATTCCCGCCGCGCCCCACTCAGTGTTATACCAACATCCGCTTCCTTTTAGTCTGCTGGTGGCCTTTAAGGCTTTCCCACGTATGAAAACCCAAAGTGACGGTAAGTGCAGAAGTGCATCAAGAGCAAAGAGCACTATATACTACTAAAAAAATTAAAGTTTAATAAAGAGGCTATCTATCAACCAATTTGGTTTTTTACTATCGAAACCAATTACATTTTCGTGGACCCCCACATTTTTTCCTCGCTAAAGTAGACCCCCGTCCGAGTCGCCCGTGGACCCCTTTGGGAATCACTGATATAAACAAATACCCGCATGTATAATTTTGCATACTAAAATGTGAACGAAAATGTCTTTGGACTGTATTTTTTTTTTTATTGTTTTTATTGCGCACTGCACAAGTAGAGTCGATTGCAGCCATTGAATGCATTGCAAAGTATTTCAAAATAACGTTCTGAAGGAGGTACGTACACACATGTAGGAATGCTGAAGCGAAAGTAACAGGGGGTTATGGCTATTGTCATAAAACTTGCCATTATTCTGGCAATTAAAAGTAATGATTTTATTAACCCTTTGCAAAGCTACGCATTCGAAGTCAAATGGTGTGGTATTCTTGTTGTCATTGAAAAAAAATTGGAGCAATAGTCTAGTTACTCTAGACATAACTTGACTTACGTAAGAAACGTCAATGATTACTCAACATCAACTTAGCCAGAAGTGAAAATATTTTGTGTTTGTATTTTTCTTCTCTGCTAATGGTCACTTTGCCGCCTATAAGCCACCTCAAAATATTCCTGAACGCATATATATTGCGTTGGCCAATATAATAGGTTACGATACGTAAATTAAGTCTAGACTAGCTGAGCCTTAAGTCGTTGTAAAGTGCGAGAAATTATTACTTTAAATATTACTTAAGTACACTTAGAAGAATATAGAGATAAATGGGCGTGGCGCGAGTGAACACAATCGACTAGGTGGCTTGAACGGGAGACTACATCCAGTAAAGTAAACACACGCGTGCGTCTATGCCCTCAAGCCAGTATTAAAATGTCAATGCCTACCCCCTGGTGGACTACCCGGTTATTGACGACTGAGATAGTACTTTTGGTGACCGGTGTATGCACTGGCTGAACATCCGGTGGCAACTGGTGAGCGCCGATAGATGTGCGCTACTAACGATAGGTTCAAGAAACGGACAATTTCGACGAGGTCGGACCAAATAGAGGTGGTGTTAGTTCATTGGGATTGAGTTGGCATGTAAAGTGGTAATTGGTGTTATGTAGGGAGTCTCCATATGTCGGACACTCATTGGGGATATTAGGATCGAGTATGGACAATAAGCTGTTGAGACGGCTGCAATATCCGACCGAAACTGGGCCAGAGTAGCGGGGGTCTCTCCTGGCACTTGAAGCTCCGTGTCTGCTACAGTTGGTGATTGGACTCCGATCAGGACATTCCCTATCAATGCCGTTGGTAACTCGTCGATACCTTGTATTCGAATAGTTGCCCTGATTGGAGGCTTCTCCTCGAGCAAGGGACTGTTTAATGTACTCACGTCTGTGACATCCCACCAGAAACTGCTTGCTGAGTAACTTGTTATGGCCCCTTACGGGAAGCATTTGGTCCTCGCTGTGCAGGCGTCCTGTCGCTGTCCGGTGTGCGGCATACAGACAAGTCTGTAGCTTCATCCACTGCGTTCAACTAGTCCCCGTTGACCGTATTTCGAATAATGGAAAAGTCTCACCAAACATTGGGAGAAAAGAGAATATATACACCTTTGTTATTCTAGACTATAACCAGAGCTGGGTCGTAATGATTCCTTTAGGAATTAAATTACTCCCAATTACAGATTACAAGGAATTGTAATTAGGAATCAATTCCTTCAGTCCACAGCAAAGGAATCGATTACTTTTTCAATTCCTTGAAGTAATTTCAAATGTAATTGGGTTTTTCTTTAATTCCATTACAAGGAATTTCATATTGTAATTGGAATAAATTACGAGCTCGTAATGTAATTTTTTTTTCCAATTCCTTTGAAAGGAATTGAAAATGTAATTGATTTTTTTTCAATTCCATTACCTGGAATTGCAAGAGTACTTTAGTTTTTCCAATTACCCAAAGGAATTGTAAATGTAATCGAGAAACTGAAAGTTCATTCACGAATATACAATGTGGAATTTTTGTTGTGGTCAAAGATTAAAATCGAAAGCACACATTGGACATCTTCTATGTATATATATATATATATATAAAAATGTTGTGTTCGTATGTCACGGTCATAAAAACCCGAGAACGGCTGAACCGATTTGAATAATATTTTTTTTATTATTCGGTATAATACCAGAACCAATGATATCGCAAAAATTTGGTGGGTTGCCACCTATTTTAAACTTTAATTAATTTAAAATCAATGAATTATTACAATATGGGTATTAAGTTAAAGAGGTTTAAGAAAGATAACTGCTGGAAGTATTTTTGACGAGGGTGGCCTCCTATTTGAAAATTTAAACTCAGTCAAATTGTTAAAAAAAATGAAATATTGCCATGTGGGTGTCAAACTAAAGAGTTTTAAGAAGGCTTACTGCCGAAAATATGTTTGAGGAGGGTTGCCATCTGTTTGAAAATTTAACTAAAGTACATTGATAAAATAAATAAAATATTACAATATGGGTATCAAATTAAAAAGGTTTGAGAAAGATAACTGTTGGAAATATTTTTGAGGGGGCTGCCACCTATTTGGAAATTGTAACTCAGTTAAATTGATAAAGTAAATGCAATGTTGGCATGTGGGTGTCAAACTAAAGAGTTTTAAAAAGGCTTACAGTCTACCATTAACACTTCCAGAAATATGCAATATGAAAAGTTCGGTTTATATGGGAGGTGCCACACGCCATTCTCCAACCATGCAAATTTTTCTCCATGAGTATGGAATTGGTCTTATATATGTATATAGAAATCACCATACCCAGTTCTAGTCCTCTACCACAAATATATGCAGTTTGAAAAATTCGGTTTGTATGGGAGGTGCCACGCCCCCTTTCTATATCGAAACTTTTTTTAGCTATAACCATCCTTGGAAAGTCTGCAGTAGATTCCGAAATTTCAAAAAAAACGGTACGGCCTTTCTCGAGCTTTGCGAACAGAAAAAAACGCCTTTCAAAATATATATTAGTATAGACTAGCCAAACTCTGCTTGTTTTGCGGGTTAAAACACTACTACCAATGAAAATCGATGGATAAATAAACAAGTTTGCAAGGGTTAAGTGAAATTGCAATAATTTTTTGTATGAAATACTAGCAGGAAATTTAACAAAGCTATTGCAATTCAACAGTAAAAATTTTTTTTTATAAATTTTTCGATTACTTTTTAAATTACTTTGAGGAATGGAATTGGAAAAAAAATCAATTACATTTTCAATCCCTTTCAAAGGAATTGGAAAAAAAATTACATTTTCAATTCCTTTCAAAGGAATTGAAATAAAAGAAATTACATTACTAGCACGTAATTTATTCCAATTACAATATGAAATTCCTTGTAATGGAATTAAAGAAAAAAACAATTCCATTTGAAATTACTTCAAGGAATTGAAAAAGTAATCGATTCCTTTGCAGTGAACTAAAGGAATTGAATCCTAATTACAATTACTGAGGAATGTAATTGTAATTGTAATGTAATTGCATTTACCCAGCTCTGACTATAACCTTTGTTCTCTGAGAGTGGAAAGCAGGAAACAAAAATTAACCAAAATTCCATCAAACTTTATGACTGGGCCACATTTTTTGTGAGTTTTGGTTGCCATAGTGATCCAATCCTGCCCATATTTTATATTTAGGGTTTTCATAATACCATATTTCTAGTAAAATTCGAGCACATGTCAAGTTTCAGAGAAATCGTTGCAGGTTAACTATTATTTCCACCTGCATCCATATAGTCGAAACGCTGTGGGGCGGTCGGTTCTAAACTGTGCTGTGCCACTGTGGTTGCTTGGAACAAGTAGGCTGCAGTGAACAACACAGCATTGCGGACAGCTGCAAAATCCCTTCGCCTGAAGATAATCTTCATAGTGAGGCCGAGATGCTCCCATTAAGGGAGCAGAGAATCATACCCAGCAAGCAGTTACTCGTAGGTTGCTATGGACGTGTGTACCAGAAGGCATATCGACCAATAGAAGGAGGAGCTCCTGAAGTATGTGCGTCAACCACTGGACCCAGATTATTAGTCACGAACTTGAAGATTTTTAAGCTGTGGGGTTTATAGAGTGAAACAACGGAAATCACTTCATTGTAGCTTCTTGTTCTTATTTACGCAATTTTGCATTTTTCTATATTTTTGAACATACATTTTCATAAGCGGGTTAAATTAAATGCACTCTAATTTGGATAACAGTGGTAAAGATTTAGAAACTGCCACGAATGGCTTAACATTCTCTTTTGATATAGAACTTTTCGATTTTTATCACGTCTTTTTGTCAACTAAATTAATTTCTTGAGCAATTTCAGCTTTCAATGTCATGACCAGCTTCAAGCAAGAAACTGAAAGCTGAAACTTTCAATAGAATTAAGCATAACCCCAGTCTAAATTAAAAAACTATCGATGCACACATCCATACCATCACAAAGGGTTCAGCCATCCAAGTAGTTTGCCAAACCGCAACCACCTTTAGTGTGCCACAATGCTTATGCTTTCAAATTCAGTTAGTGCATGCCACAAAGTGGTCCAACAAATAGGCAATTACACTCGACCGGACGTCTGGGCTTCGCTTTGAGTTGTTTACATTCCGAAAATGCGGGGTACGGTGTGCATATCTTGCGGCATTTGGCTGCCGGTTTGATGTAGAAACACCTGGGTGGATCACGTGCAACGCCACAACCGGGCAGACGAATTTTTAAGCAACGCTTATTCCCACCAACCGAACAGCTGCGTTTTTCCTCCATGCTGAGGTGCGGGCAAGCCGTCTTCGGGTGGGCGGACTTCTTGCGTCGCTCCAATGGTGGCAATTTGACCTTCTCGAAGCAGCAAATCTTGCGCGGTGCTGTTCTTATGTCTGGACATTCACTCCAGGTTTGCGTATAATTGCGCTTCGCTTTGTCGGACGGTTTATAGTAGAGATCATCAAAGCGCGGCAAGACATTTTTGCAAATGTCCAGACAACACTCGGGATTCAGCCACATAGATTGGCGCTTATCTTTTTTACACTCGCCTTTGTCCTCTTTCTCTTTGAGGCTCTTTTCACTGCACTTTGGTACGTTAGGGTCGCAATGACTGCGATAACTTGGATGCTTGGACTGGCTGGTAAATGTACGTGCAAGGGAATGAGTGAGTATTGTACTTTTCAGTGCTTGGATGAGATTATTACTGAACGACTGGTAGAGCGCCATTTTGGATAGTTCAATGTGAATTTGAGTATTGATTGGTTGTCAAAGAATTTAGATACGTATACCGTTACTTGATCAATAGTTGAAGATGCGTTAAAATTTTTAGTTTCGTGGTTTCTGAGCAAAAATTTCGTTGTTTTTATAATTTATTTAAAAGATGAAAAAGAAAACTTTAAATTTTAGAAAAAAATCAAGATATTTTTGTTGAATTTTTTTGGTTTTTGAAACTAGAATGAAAGGAATTCTAATATCAAGCTACTGAGTCAACATTCCATTTTATTTGCTTGGGGCCAATATCCAGCAAGTATGAAGAAATACGTAAGTTGTGGTTTAAAGCTCAACCAGCCACCGACGGAGCGCCCTTCCGTACCTGCCGTCCATATCAACATATGAAATTGCTGTTGATAGAGAGCGAGGAGAAGCAACAACGCCACCGTCATGCACGGACTACGGTTTTACGTTAACACCGACTACAGTTTTGCGTCAGTGGCTAGTTGAGCTATTAGAATATATCCACGGTAAAGTGCATATGCTTGTCGTAAGCGGCGACTGTAATTCACTGGTCCGAGTGGGAATGGCATATGACGTAGGTGTGTCTCAGGCAGGGGCGGATCCAGCGGGGGGGGGTTTTGGGTATTAAACTACGTATCCGTCAGTGGCGGATGCACGGGGTGTGTTTTAATAGGGCGCATATGCATGTATAATATGGCGTCTATGTATTAAAACACCCCCGGTGGGTCTGCCACTAACTGACACGTAGTTTAACCCCCAAAACCCCCCCGATGGATCCGCCCATGGTCTCAGAAATAAGGAGGATTACGGGAAGAATGCACTTTGAAACACAGATCACCCTGGAAGAAGTGCTTAACTGAAGATTAGTACTTTCAAACTATTTTCTGGACGTAACATTTATACTTAAGATGATAGTCACACAACCTGAAATCCAGCAGCTCTTGCAATAAGACCATAGATTCTGAAGGGTTCAATCATCACACAAGCCTTCAGTGTTTACATATGTACATACATGAAGCAGCGCATCCTGAAGAAGAGAATAATATTTATTCTTATTCATTCCTCTTCTTTAGAGACAGTATTGGACCAACCTTCTACAATATGCATGATTACGAGAGTAGTTATATGCCGACGGCCACCCACTCATGGCACAGGTCTGGCATCATTTTCCAAAAAAAGAAGGAAATTATGCGGAAACAGGTGGCGAAACGACGGCAGCTGAAGTATTCCTGGGGATCCTCCTGCTGCTACATATCTCCAGGGAAATTAGTACACGAAAACTAGTGGTCCCTTGTGTGATAAAAGGGCACTCAAATTTGCTGCTGGAAGATGCCTTTGCATCCTAATGGCTGCCCCAATGTTCTCTCGAACGGTGGCCATGACACTCGAAAAAGTATTTCTGGTGCTGCAGACGTGGCGACAATTTGTGCGGAGAAGGCTGACTCAGTTTTTGTATCGACAGCGGAACAAGATGACCTCACCATAGCCTCCTTAATCCGCCACGCTTTCTTCTTTTTTTTATTTAGTGCTGTAACCGCCTAAGCGATTTTGGCAGATTTCGATAAAAACACGTCAGTCGTTTCTGTTCTGTGCCAACTGACGCCAATTGGAAATGTCAAGTGAAGTAAAGTCCCTAGTTCACTTGGTCTTTCCATATCAGTGGGGACCTCCCTCTTCCTCTTGTACCACCAGCGTGTTCCGAGTTGAATACTTTCAGAGCTGTAGCGTCGGTGTCCGTCCGGACGATGGACCAGTGTCGGTGTATTTTAATTCGCCTTGGCTAGTATGGTCCCATTCAGGTATCTGGCGGAGCGAGGGTGAGTACAGGTAGGGCCAGTTCTGCTATGCTCTTATTTGTAAGTAATATTATAGGCTGACGGCTGACCATGCTGCAAGTGCAACCCCACAGAACAGTCATAGAACAGGACTCACCCTCACACCAAAAGTATATTGAATTTCAACGTGATATAGATGATAAAAATATGCTCTGCTCCGAAATTTGAGGAAAAAAGCTTGCTTGGTCATAAGGAAGAGCATCTGAACTCGCTTTTAGCGCTATCAAGAGTTTGATCTACGCAGGACCTTGATTAAGCCTGATCCACAGAAATGCGACTGAGGGCACATCTTGGCCCTACTGGAATAAGGAGCTTTAGAATCTGAGACGTTTAAAAACTAACTAAACAGCAGTAAGGGATAAAATCTTTTTTTTTAAATCACGAAAAATATATTATAAACCATGTTTAATCATAAAATCGCTTAAGCATTCATATGCGTGGTTCACCAACTCATTTACTACTTTACATACGTATATCTACCTTAAAAGCCACGAGCTTTACATGCATCTTATAGCATATACACATTTATTTTCCAAAATCAAAACCAATTCAACACAGACACGAAAATCCTTTGTAAGTCCAATGCTTTAGTATATTTCGTGGTGAAATATATAGCTACACCGAACACCACACAATTTACGGAGCTCGCTAGGTGAAAAGTCTCATATGCGAATGAAATCTCGATGCGAGTTAGTAACAGCTAGTAACCTTAAGGCATTTGCATTCGGCTGGCCTCAAGAATTTGGGTGACTTCTTTTCACACTCGGAATAACTTGGGTAGGGTGTGCATATTTTTGAGCAACCGCTGCTCTTCTTAGTAGCAGTACACTTGGGTGGATCTCGAACCGCCTTACAACCGGGCCATGAAATTTTTGAACAACGTGCAGATAACTTATTCCTGCAGAGCCTGACAACGATATCTTCTAATTGGTCAACTTCAAGTTTCTTGTGTTTGCGTTTTTCCATTTTTGATACAGCGTAATATTCTGTACAGCATAGTTTCATTGGCACAATAAATATATCGGGGCATTCAGACCAGGTTTGCTGATATTTACGTTCGGATTTGTCTGACGGTTTGTAATAGAGATCATCGAAGCGAGGCAAGACATCCTTACAACCTTTGCAGCATTCATCGAAATTGAAATCTAGCGGAAATTCACGCTTTTTACATGTGACCTTTTTCATTTTATCTTTACTACAACGTGGTTCCAGATATAAGCAATGCGGACGGCTGACCTTTTCAGTTTTGTTCGAGACAAGGCTTCGTTGTTGGGTGTTGTAAAGTGTTGGCATTGCAGTAGTTAGTGCTTTTGATGCAGGCGCCAGAGCTAGCGATTTTAGATGAAGCATGACGAATGGATGTTTTTTTTTTGTTATCAATCAGGTTAAACTTCAGAATTGAGCTAAATTAATTTAGTTACGAATTTAGAATTTAGCAGTTTTTTTTAGTTTTTAGTGATTTTTAATTAAATGTAGTTAGGAAAATTTAGCTTTTTAGGAAAGAAAAAATTTTTGAAATGACGGCATTTTCAAGAATTTTTGAGAGATCCAACCCTCTTTTCAGAGTCTACTGGAAATTTTACCAAGAGTGTTTTTTCCCCGCATTGATTTATCGCCCAAGCAACTGTGGAAACCCCTATACACGCACTGACTTATCGTTCCGCAAATAGGACAACTGCTAGGAGCTGGTTGTCGTCCTTACAGCTACGGCAGTAATCGTTTGATGGAAATCAAAGTCAGGCCAAGAGAAGAAGAGCCCTGGATCTTTAAAAGTTGTCGCTTTCTTCAACATTACCTTATCCGTCTTAGAGACCTGCCCGCATCCTCCAATGTTTTAGGACCAGACTTGCAGCAAGTAATTTTTAAAGCAAAAGAAATACAACCGACTTCAATGTTCATATAAAAATGTATGAGTGCCATTCATTTCATGATGCCACGATCGGAACTAAACCAAAGTAGTATGGGACCATCCTTCAGATACCAACATTCCGGTAAAAAGAATAATTTATATGTCTACGAGTTCCGAAACCTTCTCCATCAGATCCAAACAAATACTCATTATAAAGTTTGATTTGCTTTTAATAAACTTAACTTTATTTAAATGCACAGTAAATTTTACACCCAAATACTTTTTCATAAAACTATTAAACTATTAAAAAACTATTAAAACTATTTCGTTTTCATTATTTTTGTTTATTTTTTTTTTTTGTTGTATCGAAGCTATTATCGAGCGTCCTCAAGTCCATTGAACCACTCTCTGCTCCATCACACCAACCACAAATAAAAATCTTTCCCTAAAGATGATGCAGGCGCGTATGATCTTTCATTGGGCAGGCGGTTTCCGAACGAGGCATTTTCGCTTTCATTTTTTGGTATTCTTGCAGATCATCGGCGCAGGTACAATTCGGGAAGTCGACGTGTGTTTTGTTGTAAATGCGCCTATTACGACTTAACTTGTAGTAAAGATCGTCGAAGCGCAATGTTTCTGCCTGTCGATTGCGCAACACTTGCGCATACTGCTCCTCACCATTGCGATAATAGTAGCCGTCGTCGTAGTCTCTCAAAGATCTTTTCTTATTTGGATTCGTGCGATGGTATACCATGCTGCGTGCGCCCAAAATTCTCAACATCGGCTGATTTATACGCGCCGCGCGATTGATGATTTGCATGAGAAACATTTGATCTGCCGGTGGTCTTTATTAGATGCTTCAAAGTTATAATCTTAACTCGTTTTTGCCTGGGATTAACTGGAATTTTGTTGTTCTTGTATGTTATTTTTTTATTTCTTTCTTAAATTTGGCGTGAAATTATTTTTACTTTCATCAATTGAAAATATAAAAAATTAAATGAAATTTGTAAAGTCAAGTTAACTGAGACCATGAAAAGTGGCAGAGTTTACAGTGATTCGTACTTACGTCCAGTACTTTAAGATATTAACAATTAACAAGAAACGTGTCATCACCATGATAATCGCCGCTCCTCGTCTTGAAAGCGTACAAGGTCATATCAAAGCTTGGGTGGGACTATCCTCAGCTCTAAAAAATAACTGCATTAAATAAATGAGTTTGCAAATTTTCATAACGTAATTATAAACAAGGGGAATCAGGGTTGTAAATGCCATAGAATCGACCACCATGGACCGGCTCCCTTTTGAATCCAGGATAAGCCTATTGTTTTCGTTGAGTTCCGCTCCCCATGGGACTGCCGTCAAGCATAACTTCGTGTGGGGAGGCTCTTAATCGCCACTGCTATGTCTTATAGCCCATTTCCAACCAAACGCTTAACTGCAGTTAAGAGCTCCGATAAGTTATAATAATTTTAAAAGGAGGTGATCGGCAATTTTTATTTATTAATTTTTGTTTTTTCCTTTCATATTTTTATACTTAATATGAGCAGCTACCTCCTTCGAGTCATAATCTGCTTTTTCTAATAGGCATAAACTGCAGTTAAGGCTTGGCAGAAATGAACTATTAGGGCTGGTTTCTCCAACTCAACTTTAAAAGACTTAGTCACGAATAAGCTGTATAAAAGTAGGCTAACTTTTGACTTAAGTCCAAAAAATGGCTAAACTAAGTTAAGTTGAGTTGTAGAAACCAGCCCTTAGTCTTTCAAGAGCCCTCAATCTTTTCATCGTATCGCCTATTGATTCGCTTGCTTATCTCCATTATTCACTGGTTTCACTGGTTCGGGTAAGTAATTTCCTTCAAATTTGCGGCTAATCTTCCGTCTTACATCCGCAACCCGCACACATTCAACGAACACATGGCTTACGTATTTTATAGCATCCCCTCCGCAGTAGTCGCTTATAGGATCAGATTCATATTTAAACCGGCATAGGTACGCTTTAAAGCACCCGTGCCCAGTTAATAAGTGGGTTAGGTAGAAGTCTACTACGTCGTGCATGGACGGCATATACCGTGCATCTGACTCGCGAGTCGGTTCGGATGTGTTAGTGAAAATAAATATGTGTTCGTCACACCGACATGACTGAATGACTCAACTGTGTGTAGTCAGAAAACGAGTCAACACGTACACAAATGACTCGCGAGTCAAACGCACCGTCTATGGAGACTATTAGTTACACCAACATGACTACTGGCATGACTCTGAATTATTCAACTGTGTGTAGTCGAAGGCGAGTCTACACGTACACAAATGACTCGCGAGTCAGACGGACCGTGTATGCCGCCTATAAAACACAAAGCCGCCAAGCATCGCCACAAACATCAATGGGCCAACGAATGAACTCAGTAATTAAAGTCAGGCCTTCTACTATTTTTGTACTTTTATTTTAATACTTGCTAGACCTGCACTGGGAAAGCTCAAGAGTATCCTTTAATAAAATGTATGCGACAAACGGATTTTCCGCTTGGCTTTTGTTTTAATTGTATGCAGTAATTTGGCTAATGTATGAAATATGGCGACACAAATGGGTCATAAATCAAACAGGATATGTGTTGACAACTAAGGAAAAGCACAAAGACATACAAGCATGAGGAAAAATACAAAACAAAATAAAAAGAATTTGCATAATTTTTTGTAAGGACCAGAGTACATTTTAGTTTGTATGTAAATAGCTAATCAGCATATTATTTGTTTATGTGAGCGTTAAAAAGTGGCACAGGTAATGGACGCCTTTTAGCAGCGCACTAACTGAAATACTAATTTCAATGACTGACGCGGACAGCGAGTGGGACGCCAACTAGCTCCAAGCCGATAAGGGCAAGCAATGCCGGCGTCACGCAAGTAACCTTTCGTCACATGACACGTGCCACATGCAGCCACATACATGCAATTGTTAATAAGAATGTTGTAAATTGCAATGAAAAAGTAGCAAGCGAACTTTTTGAGGGGATAAAGGACATTTATGCATGGGCAGCGGTTAGGCGCCAGCCTGTTGGCTTACAAAGAATGTTAAAATATGCAAAACAAGCGGAATTTTTCGATTTGCGCCTACTTAGCTACGAAACACGAAAGCGAGTGTAGCTAGCAAGCACAGCAAATAAATATTGCATGCGTTCGCGTAATATCAGCGCAAGTGCATTTAAATCTATCTACTTAGGCTGCTGAGTTAGCTAAGAAATTGAAAGAGAAAAAAATCGGTATACTCTAATAGGATCATGTGACCAGGTCACCCTTTTTGAAGCTAGATTTAGCATCTAATGCATAGTCTCAGATTTTTCGGTCTGACTTCCTGGCTTTTTTCTATCGTTTTTTACTTAAAATATTTATAGAAAATTCACATCGGATCTTGTAAAACTAATACTAAAAATACTTGATATTTCAAAAACTACCAGTGGTACCATTTCTTTGAGAACATACTTTCCTAGTTTTTTCTTAAACTGTATTTTTGAAGCAATGAATTTGTTGGCGTATCACTAGTGTACTCTGATGTAAAAACAATCATATTTCTATTCGCAAATTTTCTTGGGTTTTCGTATACTAAACTGAACTCCATTTTGCATACCTTAGAGTAATTAATAGCCTGAAAGATATTATTTTGTATTTTGATGAAGTGATTTAAAAATTTATTTAAAGAAACCCGGTTTCGCGAAACTTATCGAGTTGGCGAAGAGTTTAAAAGGAATGAATGCACTGACTTCTTTTTAACGTAGTTTTTCATAGGGTATAACTTTTTCTAACCTTTTTTCAAAACCAATTTAGCCTCGCTTTTTGTGATGATCTGGTCACACTGAATAGGATCACTACGATGCATGCAGGCACTCTAGCGTTTTTAAGCAATTTTCCTTCCAGATAAGCGCACCATCAGCAACTTAGCAAGTTAACCTAATTAGTTTTTTTTTAGCTTTGTTGTTATTTGTTAGCACACGTGCAAATGGACTCTCAGCGTGATTGGCGTTCACAATGCGAATCATTATTATACCCTTACGCCCTCAGAGAGTTTTATGTTCGCGCTCGCGCGCGCCATCACGCCTTTATTTCCTTCCTCTGCATTAGTTTTTATTTTTTGTTGCTGCTGTTTTATAATTTTACTGCCCACCATTTCCTTATTACTTACTCGACTTCAACTTGCTGTTATGGCTTTTAAGATTCGCTCATAATTTGCTTGACTTTGTTGCTGCAATTAAGTGTGTGCGCGCGCGCGCCCAAGTGAAGCGAAACAGTAGCGCCTTGCTACATATTGCATGAACTGTTGTAAAGTCTTGCATACTACCATTTATATTTGCAACTATTTTTGTGAGTTGTGAGTGCAGTTAAAAGCGTCCAAGAAGGTCTCCGGAAAGTATTAGAAGCTCATTTTCAGTAATATTCATAAAAGTGAAGCACAGCGTTGCCGGCCGACGCGCTGAGTGCTGGAAATTGTTTCGCACTTTGGCGGATTTGACGGCAGCTTTTAAACGTTGTGAATTATTTAATGTGTTG